GAGCATACTGCAGTAAAAGCTGATTTAATGTCCACTGTTTTCGATTAGCGTTTTTAGACTCCTTTATATTACAACTTAATATCTCACAAACTCCTGAATATGTACTCATCCCGTGAGACATGATTATGTCTGCACCTTGCACCTGTAATAACAATTACTATTACTGTCTGATTTTACTCATCATTACGTAAACTAAATTATATGGAGACCAAAATTAGCTTTTCAGCCTTATTATGATAATTTGGATTCACAAACTCATCGAAGAACTAAAGATGTCTTACGACAGACACAAATTGGTATGGAAGATTATTCAGTAAAGGACGTTGCGAACCTCTCGGAATGGCGGAATTCCTCCAATGAAGGAGCGGTATTTCCGTAAAGGTATGTACTTGTGACAGCCAAGCACCAAGCAATTTACGACAGCAATCAATAAGGAACGCAAACAACCAAGCAATTTAAGACAGAAAATGATTATTCCATGTTATATGGTTGTTGAAACGCCAAGCTTCTGGGGCACTTTAAAAATAGTAGCTGTATCATTTGAACAAAGAACCGTGCCCTTAAAAATAAGACAGCATATCGTCCTAATTCAGAAGGTCATGTGTCTCGAATGTTTACTTACCACTTAAATAATTCTGCTGTAATACCATGTTCGGAAGTTTTCGCAAACTTTAATCTTTTGATGGATACTTTTACAAAAAACTCCTGCAGTTATTTGATTAAGAACCTGATCTTATCTAAAGGCATCCCCCCTAGTAAAGGAATGTTACTGTATATCTGCCAAGACGCTTGGAGATTTTCATGAGAATTGTAGACCATTTTGGCTCACTGTACATGCTGATGCTTCCCGTTGCTAGGAATAATTCGATCTGCAAATTTCACGACCATAGAATTTGGTTTGAGTAGACCATCTTCTGGATGCGTTCCGGTTAATCACCATATCAGAAGTCTTCATGATGTTACGGAATAGGGTGTATATAGATGGTGCACACTGTGGAACAAAATAAAATTATATTCTATATTTTTCGAAGCAAAGTTTTATTGTATAAAGTACACAAGAGCATATACATGTTTTAAATTTATTATCTTACATCAGTAAAAGTAAAAGACTGTTTATCCTCATATATAATTCTGATACATCCTTGTTGTCGAATCTACCTGTTCGACATTAAGTTCCCAAGGCGCTGCATAAGCTCTGGGAATAACTGGTATCGGAGCGCTTATCTGTCTAGTCAAATCTCTCTTTCTTTGTTTGGACTTTTTCTGTCCTCGAGATAGAGTATTAGCACGTCGCGCTTGTACTAAATGTTCACTGGTCTCGCTACGTCTCGAAGAAGTTGCATCGCTGCTCCTCACACTCGCACTCTTTTTTAACCATGAGAGATTCCAATTGTTGGATTTATCTAAAGCCTTGCCAAATTTTTCTTCAATTGCGGCTTCACGCGCAGCAAATACTTGTTCTTTTTCTTCTATCAATATCCATTCGCATTCATAATTAAGATCTTTTCGAGGTTCAATGAATACCCAATCTCCCCAATAACCGTCTGTCGATTCGGTTGTAATTTCCATCCAAATGTAAGGAAAGATATCGTCTATAGTTTCGATCGCTAGATGAGTAGTAATCTCCTGTTGAGGATCCAACAAGTGCCACTCTTCCAGCTGCTGTCGCTTGAGAATGTCTTTGTCGTAAATCACATCACGAGAAACAAAGGAACTAGTGCGCTTCGCAGTTTTAGGCTGGGTGCGACGACGGCGGAGGGTAACCATTGCCTTGGATGGATCCTTGTCCGAGTCTGAGGAGTCGATGTTTGTAGTAGATCGTCTTCGCTGTTTCTTCAGTTGTTTCTTGGTTTTTCTCTTATCTTCATCTAGAGCATCTGCGCAGCCATCCGAAAGCGAGGGCGTCAGAAGAGTCTCGCTTAAACTAAAGTCCCGAGATATGTTATCAAACGAGTTACGGAATCCGTTTTGTTTAAATTCGTCCCATACCAATGTTTTGGGACGGAACGCATTTGGTTCGAGAGTTGCACGTTTTAACGGTGTCCAACAAGCTTCATCTTCATCTTCTGCTTCTTCGGCAAATGTCTTGGTGATTTGCACATTAAATTTATTGTCGATTTCGTCATTACTATTTTGGGAAAGCTCTTGTAATACGTCTGAATCTTGTGGTACTCCCAACAGCACATTCTGCTGCTCGACAGTTAATGCTCCGTATTCATCTCTGAGAGCAAATCTTGTCTTAAAATCGTCAGATAAGGTCGCAAAACCATCGCGTTGAACTTCTTCCCAAATATGGCCAGCCGTGCGACGCTGTTCCACTGTCATTATAGAACTTGAACTCACAATCGTTTCTCGTTTGATATTGTTCATCATTTGTGGTAAGAGATCGTAGACACTCTTTCTTTGTTCGCCAGCAGTATGTCGTGGAACAACCGATCTCGTGATTCGTAGCATACTTGCACGTCTCTCATTAGTTATGGAAGATCTTGCCATTGTCTGTTGATAAGACTTAAAATCTTCTTCATTGCTGACAAATATAGATGCTGTTGATATCTTTTTAACATCATCGTAATTATCAAGAAGCATAGTAAGACGGGGAGGAAGTTCTTTATCGTGAGAACGCTCCCTCAAGTAGGCCAGGAAGAGATGGAGACATGCGTTCGAACAATTTGTATATTCTTTGTAAGCATCATCAAAACTCAAAAAGGCCGGCTTTCCGTCACGGATGATACATAACGCAAGGCATTTTACAATCTTTTGCGCCGACATCTTGTTAATGTGTGATTCCGCTGTTACGTCAGCACATATCTCGAATAATTCGATGAGAACATTGCGATTTGGCAATGGGATATACTGCAGAAATTGGGTAAAAGACCCCTTGTTTGGGTCAAAATCGTATTCTACATAAATGGCAAGACCATTAACAAATGCGTATGACAAGACAATCGATGATGTGTGACAGAAATAATGATACTAATAATACCTTGGTCAAATTTGACAAATTCTTCGTAGTACTGATAAGGTACAATGATTTCTTCACAGTGTCGAAGCGCCCATTTTAAGGTCGAGACAACATTGTGAATATCTGCGCTAGCTAGCTCGGTCTCATAGTCAATTCGGTTATCGCGTAACAAAAAGTTAATGAGGTACATGGCCTCTTCTGTGCTGTCTCCAATATTCTGTGGTTTAAAGATATCGACTTCGTGCAATCCTAAAAGACAAAACAATGCACGTTTAGCGATAACTATAATCTTCACCACAGCTCCATCGTAAATTTATTATTCGCCTTACCTCTTGATCGTATTTCATCGCCGCATCTTTTTATGATCAAGTGAGTCATTTCGATGGATAGTTTTTCCATGGTAAATTCATTTCTCGATGATTTGCTATTCTCTCGCTGGAGACTGTTGCTAAAAGTCCTTTTTAAACTTCCCCTACTTCTGAGACTGCTAGAAGTATCCGAGAGAGTTCTTTTCAGTTTTTCAGAATTTTTTTTTAGAGTATTCTTGCGAAACATTTTTCTTTTTCGGTCAAAGAGATGAGATGATATTACGAGTTTTTTTGATATTAGGGTTGGGGTAAGGGGAAGGGGGAGGGCCCTATTAATATAACCAATTGCCCTTTAATATACAAATACAAATTATTAAAGTTTGTTCTAAACTTCCACTTGTCCGGCAAGGAAGTGAAATGGATTCAGATAAGGATGAGTGGAAATTCGTTATATTTCTAATTTTTTTCGACCCCTCATCTGTTGTGACCCAATATCAAGCACTCCTAGTTGTGTACAGTTGTCTTCCCTCATCGGGTAGACATCAAGGTGATCTTATTCAAATGTACCGCATCTCGCATACACTCCAACGGAAACGTGTAATGTGATTCGTACTATTAAGGAGTTATGCACAAGTTTCAAATTTTGTGTTCCCCAAAATTTCTCCAAGTAAAACGTGGGGGTGTAGATCATTAATATCATTAATAAAATGATTGATCTTTTTAGGAACACTATTACTTTTACCGATATAACCATGAGCGTTTATTATTATTATGATTTGTTTGGTGACGTCTCCCAACCGTGTGTACGGCTTGTGCGTGAGAGCCGCATGTGGGAGTGACGTCGGACAAAAATCACACATCAACCTTGTCCAAAAAATTCGTGGATCTTCGTAGTCGCTTCCCCCCTTCATGAAAATAAGAATGTCTTCGTTGATAGATTCGGATTATGTTAGTGAGAGCAGTCTGGCAAATCTACGGCTATACAAATATGCATCTATCGATAAGTCGCCACTCTCGAAATATATCTTGAGGCCATACTGGGATTGGGCAGTTAAGCTATTTCCAATGTGGATGGCGTAAGTCTTCAAAAAAAAAAAGAGGTTGTTGGATTGGATGCGCCAATTCCTCCAGAGGGATATCTTTGGATCTGATCGGTTTCCCGGCTCTGGGTGAACTTTCTCTCTCTCTCTCCGTGTAGGCCAAATTTAATCACTCTATGTGGCCTGGGATTTATTCTGGTGAATCTTGTTTGTGTAATGGTGTTCTTGCCAGACCTTGTTGGACCAGGAGCACCTTGGCTTTACTACAGGTGAATCAATGCATTTGGTCTGTTACTGTACTCCGGAACTATTTACGGTAATAAATTGAATAGTACCCGGATAGCGCAAGAATTAATATACAACCCAACTAACTATCATTTCCTCCGTATTGACTATAAATAATAGCTTTGCAGCCGGCCTCTGGTTATATCAGACATTTGATAACGTAGACGGTCGTCAAGCACGTCGAACAAAGAGTTCTTCACCACTCGGCGAACTTTTTGATCATGGTTGTGACGCACTGAACTGTTCATTTGGGGCCATCGTGCATGCTGCCGCAATGGGGCTTGGACACTCGTGGTACTCTGCATTCCTATTGCTTGTCACAACTTTACCATTCTATTTATCAACGTGGGAAGAATACCATACTGGTATTTTGTACCTCGGTTATATCAACGGACCAACGGAGGGTCTTGTAATCGCTTGTATTATGATGATCTTGAGCGGTATATTTGGTGAGTGACTACGACTCGTGGTCTATTCATGTTTATTACATGTATCATTGACGGCCTATTTGTGCTCTTTTCATAAAGGACCCGGAATATGGTTAACTGATATACGAGAATTGTTTGGAGAAGGGATACCCGAATTTATTCCCAAGGGATATCATCTTGTTGATGTTATGGTTTTCTTCATGGCAGTGGGAATGATTTTCATACATACTCCAGCGAGGTAAACCGAATCCATACTTTTAATATTGTAAATTTGACCGTGTTAATGACGCATTTGTAATTTCCCTCTCCCCACTAGTTTATACCATGTATACAAAGCCTGTGCTCAACGCTCCACATCATTCCTCGCAACTCTTCCTCAGCTGTTTTCAATTGTATTGTACTCTCTCTGTGGATACCTATGGCTTGCTTCCCCCCACTCATACATCTTCCGAGATCAACATTTTATCCTATTTGCCCTAACCACTGGTATTGTATTTGGACGTGTTGCCACGAAAATTATCCTTGCACATGTCACGAAGATGCCTTTCCCAATGTATACAGTTTTATTGATTCCGTTACTCGTTGGGGCGCTCCTCACCAACATACCAGTATGGCTCAAAACGTGAGTATTTGACACTGTTAACGATTCCGTAGCCGAATATCCATGACTAACGGGATATATCGCTGATATATTTATTAGTGATACTATTTTGACTCCAAAGGCCGAATACTATTATCTTTGGAGTTACTTTGGATTTGCTGCAATTGCTTATACACATTGGGCAAATCTTGTGATATCCAGATTCTGTTCGTATCTGGGAATCAACTGTCTCACCATTCCTGCATCTAAGAAACAAATCTAGAATGAAGTAAGTAACGAGTGAACGAACATACAAAACATTATAGAAATTATCTCATCAAGCAATAGATGTACGTATGCTGTCGATATCACTCTTACGTACACTCAATTAGAATTCGGATATGTACCCTGCACGCAAAGATCAATTTAATAATAAATTATTCACTCATCTTCAACCCTCTTCTCATAAAATATTACACCTCAAATTATAGAGCATACTGCAGTAAAAGCTGATTTAATGTCCACTGTTTTCGATTAGCGTTTTTAGACTCCTTTATATTACAACTTTAATTGAGCAAAGGCATGCTATGCAAGAACTTGGGCGAAAATATCAATTCGATCGCTTATTTTCTACGTTTTCATCCCCCTACATCATTCCAGAAAAGATTGTATGTTGACGCGTTTCGCGATCCATGACATCAATTGACGAGTGCAAGAATGAAAAATGTTATTATACCTTACGTAATATTAATCAAAGCAGGGGCTAAATCAGTCTATTACAAAAGCAGAAAAGGCTTTCTCATCATTGCTTGTTCGAGTTTAGTACAAGATGTACATTCTTCAGAAGATATACTAACTTGATATGTTACTGCACATGCGTCTGACAAGTTTGTATTTTTCCTATACTATAACTAATATAGTAAAAATAACAACAACGCTTTCTAATTTTGGGTATTCTGCGTCACGCTTATTCAGACCTATAGGAGTAAATCAAATAAAAAGTCCGAACGTGATACAAACCTAATATTAACAAAGACTGATCTACCAAAAAAAAAGCTCATTCATATGTTTAAACAAACAACACAATAGAGACGATGAAAAGCGTCTGAACGTGAAGAAACAATAACTTTACCATTGTCGACAAATGCAGAGATTAATTGGCTGCGTCGAAATACAATTGATTGTAATTATATTCGTCGTCAATTTAAGTCCGAGCATTCGCTTCTGTCTACACTTGAAACATGGATTCTTTGCCTTTCGAGCTTTTGGCGATGATTCTTGATGAATTTACAAATGATTCTTCTATGCTTCACACTTGCGCATTAGTTAACAGGAATTGGTGTGTAGTGGCTCTTCAATACCTGTGGGCCAGACCTTTCACCATGTTGGTTTCAAGTCCAAGGGAGAAAAAAATCCGATCAGTAGACAATCTTCTAACCACCTTTATTGAATGTTTTACCGATGTCAACGCTCTCCAGAACGCAGTGCGATTGTGCAAAAGACGTAGCAAAAAGTTCCCGTTTGATTACAGTCTTTACTTAAGGGAGATTCACTTCAAAGAAATTTCCGTTTTGACGTCAACGTACAATAAGTTCAACAGGTATTCCATGCGAGTGAGAATTACTCGATTGGCAATTAAATATTGCCCAAATCTTAGAACTCTTTCGATTAACATGTCACTCTGTCCTAAAGCTCGGTTTTTGACTTCTATCACAAGCCTCCCAAATTTACAAAACATAAGCTTACATTTAGATTCACACGATAGCATATTCAACATACTTTCTAGAACTACAACGAATTTAAAATCAATTTCAGTCAAAGTTCGCAAACATAAGAAATATAACTTTGAACAAACATCGCATCATGGTTTGCAAAAATTCGTTCGGTCTCAGCGTCAGCTAAAGACAATTACTATAAAAAATGTAACCGTCCGGATGAGATCAGTGTTTAAATTGTTGGAGTCGCAATCGAATTCTCTGGAATCAATCGTTTTGGAAAACATTAGCTTCGATTCAGATGGCTTAAAAACCAAACCTGTTAAGTTTCATCAACTGTCAAGCATACACATAAAGAACTGTCAGATAATAACGAAAGGAGGACTGAGATCGATCTTCGAAGCCGACTTGTCAAATTTGCAAAAACTCAAGTTTGAAAATACAGACTGGCGATACACAAGTGATTGGACGCCGTTGCGAAATAAGTATGGAAATCGAGTATTTTATTCTGGAAGGAATAGATTTATTACACCACATAATTGAAAGCTATATATCATGTTTCGGAATGGTTTGCTACTTTTTGTACGTTTCTTGAACAAGTCTTTGTTTATTTGTAAATTTTATTGCTGGCAACAATTATATATTTTATTCAGAGTAAATAGTGTGTCTATAATTAAATAAAACCAAAAATTACTAATTTGCTTAGTGGAAAACTAAAGTTTATTTGTTAGTATCTTGATTAACAAATTCGATTTTTGCCATGATATTACTTCCCATATTGATTTAATTGTCCTTTATTGACACAGCTACGATGGACGGCTAGAGCTGTTTTACTTCCCATATTGAATGAGGCCTGTAATTTTAAGTATCCCAAGATCATGAAATTGTATCATTACGATAGACACATGAGTATGAGAGAGTTCTTCCAGGAATTTGTTACCTCAAGCAGACTCATGTAACTGTTCCAATTCATCCTTCAATATGACTTTATGTGCATTCTTACTCATGCACACAAACTTGGCCTAATACTAATTCCAAATAAAAATCTTCCATATTTGCCTTAGTATTAGGGCGTGAGCTCCCCAAAAACTTTCGTTTTCGGTAATATTTGGTGCGCATGTCAGGTTTATGATGCTTATCACACTCTGATGAGGCCTCACTACTCTCCTCAGCCCTAATACAATTGTATAGCACAATTTAGAAATAAAATTATCTCATGTCGAAGTCTATATTTAATATTGAAACCCTTCGAACAATCGTGAATAATTTTCACGATGTACTATTATACATTATTATGAACAATCATTGCAATGCAATTACTGTCAATGTAAGTAGTATCTTGTCTCTACCTTTTGAGCTTCTTGCGACAATTTTTGATAATTTTGCAAGCGATTCTTCTACGCTTCACTTTTGTATTTTAGTCAACACGAATTGGTGTGTTGTTGCTCTTCAATATTTGTGGGGCCAAACCTTTTACTTTGTTGTACTCAAGGCGAAGGAGTAAAACCAGCTCATTAGTAAATAATCTTATAATTGCGTTCATTGAATGTTTTACTGATGTCAATGCTTTCGAACACTCATTGCAACTGTGTGAAAATTTTTCGTTGGATTATAGGTTATACTTGAAGTGTTTTCCGAATTTTCAGGAAAAATTTATTAATAAAAATACATTCGATTATGGAGTTATAAAATGAACCACGAGAAATAGCATTTTGGTAATTTAAAAAAGGGCATGGAAAAAAAATACACTTTGTTTCTCAACCAATATCTCAAAAAAAAATTATTAAATAATTTTTTTTCTAAAAGCTAATGGTTTGTAGATTTTATTAATAATTAATTTGCTCACGCTAACGGTACAAAAAACGCATATTGGTTCGCTTTATGTCCGGGCTTTTTATGCGTTCGCTCTTTTGACAGACGAACAACTTCAAGCTAAGTTCCAACTTTATCGAAAAAAAATCCAGAGTATTCCAAAAAAGAATCGTGCCGCCAAAGAATTAGGTTTGTTGAGTGAAAAATTGTTAATGGTCTTTTCTCTAATTATTTTTCCTGGTGCTACTATCAGAAAATTAGTTATCTTTTCAACTTCGGCTCGCGGGCAACACTCAAGGAATCACCCTCTCTGCAGAGACCCGGGAAAAAATAAGTCAGGCAGCAATAAACAATTACTGGAATGGCGTTGAAACTACTATAATCAAGTAGCCAAATTTAGCCCAGAGCTAGTTTGCCCCGAAGTTATGCGAAAATTGGAGACCCATTGAATGGAATTAATTTAGCGGGAGCAAATCCCGAACAATTAACGAAAGATATTTTTGGCGAAAATTCAAAGAGATTAGGTTTTCAGAAATTCTCGCATTGACCACAATTAGCACCTTATTCGATGCGCATATTGTGCGAGTCAAGATTATTCGCTTGGCAATTAAGTATTGCCCTAATCTCAAAACTCTTTCTCTTAACGATTTTGACATTTATCGGGGACTAGCGCTAATGCCTATGAAAAGACTTCCATTATAGAGTTGCCTCTTCAATGCACTTTCTAGGGTTGCAAAGAATTTAAAATTAATTTTATTTGAAGGTCGCAAGTATCAGGAATGTTTTTACTTTGAACAAGGATTTCAAAAACTCGTTCAGTCTCAGCGTCAACTAAAGACGATTACTATAACAAAAGGCATCATCGAGATGAGATCAGTATTTGGGACATGCTGCAACAAAACCAGACAAAGTGAACATTTGATTATGTGATGTAAATGAGAGACTGATTATGATGTGGCTGTAAAATTGACCAGTATGACTGATGACGTTTTGAAAAGTAATAATGGTGCTCATTCATAA